ACCCCAGCCTGGGGCAATCACTCTGGCCTCTTCCCACTTCCCCAAAACTCCCAGCATAAGAGCTGCCGCTGGGGCTCAGCAGCCAGAGATCTGAGCGCAGAGGCCTCAGACTCTCAGGAGGTGAGCACTCCCCCAGCTGCCCAGGGAGGAGGGGTCCAGGACTGGGAGGAAGCAGAACTCTGTGGCAAACACCTCAGAAGCCTGTCCTCAGGGCCGTCATGGCCACCGACCTTCCCCCTCCTTCCCCAGTGTCAGTGAAGTTGGCTCTGACCCTGAGCAGACCTGTTCCTGCAGGGTCAAGGGTCTGGGATGAGCGCCGGCCCAGGGACAAGGATGGCTTTTCAGGAAAAGGGACTTTTGTACATGTGCTGCCACCCCCATGTTCTTTTCCTTCTTCTCCAGCTGAAAGTCTGTTCATTGGGAGAGAAGGAAGCTCTCTAGATTGCCCTTTAATCAATGAGTTAAACCCACGTTCCATCTCTGTTATGTGACAGGCGCTGTGCAGAGGCGCAGGGCATTTCCAAGGAGGGACAGTAAAGCTGCGTCTCTCACAAGAGTGAAGGGACATGAGACCCTTCCTGCTCCTACCCCTTCTCCTGTTGGGGGCAGTTTCTGCTCTTCATCCGGGTGAGTCTTCCCCTCCCCTTGTCGTCCAGCTTTCTCTCCTCCTCTTCCCCGCATCCCCTGTGGCTCTCATGGGACCAGGGTCACAGCCTCCCTTCTTCAGTTGACCCGGCTCATCTCTGATAAGATTTGTCCTGGACCTTGACATTCTGTCAGGGCTTCTTCACAAGGGAAAACCACCCACTTGTGAAGATGAAGAGCTTCTTAAAGGTGCCCCTTCCCACCTCCCAAAATACACACATGTGTTGTCAGCCAGTGTAAAGTCTCATCCGTTTGTGTGAGTTTTCACCTCACCCAGCGCCTAGGACAGAGACCCTTTTAATCCTGGCTCTGGACAGAGGACAGCTGCACTAGGAAGGCTGGAGTGGGGCAGTCGGAGCTGTCCGTGGTCCTGAAAGAAGGGAGAACCCGACCTGATGGCAGGTCACCTCTTCATTCCAGAGAATGATGCCCTCTATCCGGACAGCCGAGAGACCCAGGGAGACCTGAGTCAGGATCTGGAAGGTTCTGGAGAGCAGAAGGGAGAGTTGGCCCTGACTAAGGATGTGATTCAGTCAGAGGGAGAGGCGGACAAGTCTTCCCGGTATCCAAATGCCTTCGAGGACGAGGAGGATGAGGCGGACGAGGAGGACGAGGAGTCAGACCCAAGTGACCTAGAAGAGGACTTTCAGTGCCCGAGGGAAGAGGACACAGTGCAAATGGTGGGCAGTCCTGGGTGCAGGACATGCCACTATACGGTGGTGCGGACTCCCAGGACGTTTAGAGGAGCTCAGGTACGTGTCAGGGAGGCTACTGCGGAAGGGGGAGACGGGAGTGGTCCAATCTACTGTGCCCTATTTATTTAGATGAATGTTTCTCAAAGCCTAATGTACATTAGAGTCTCCTGGAGATCTTGCTGAAACATCGATTTCTGACTCAGCAAGTATGGAGTGGGACCTGAGATTTTGTATTTGTAACAAATTGCCAGGTGATGACAACATTGTTGGTTGGAGACAGCACTTTGAGAACCACTGATTTGGAATAAAGGCTTTGGTATTAGATAGACCTGTGTTAAACCCTGGTCCCACCTGTTGTTGGCTGTGTTACCTGGGCAAGCCACTTCACTTCTCAGAGCTTCAGTATCTTCCTTTGTAACCTGGAGATATATAATACCAACCTGTTAGGATTGTGGTCAGGATTCAATAAGAGAGTATACAGAAAGTGTTTGGAATAGTTACTGGGTCATTGTAAACTCTCAATAAATGGTGTTTATGATTATTCTGATTATCATGGTTATTTTCTACACGTTCCTGGTGACAGGTAAAGAAATAAGCGATGGGATTGAGAGGGGAAGGTAGATCCCTGATTTCTGACTTGACAAGGGATGGGGAGGTGGACACACTCCTGGAGACTTAGGGACTTGAGAAAACAGAGAGTGAATTCTCTACCCCACGTCTTCTCTACAGAATACCTGCCAGAGATGCTACCATGGCAACCTTGTGTCCATCCACAGCATTACAGTAAACATTTACATACAGCACTTGATCCATATAATCCACCGACACCACGTTTGGATTGGAGGCCGCTTCAAGGGCCAGGTAAGTGAGGGAACAACTCCCAGGTGCAGGAAGCTCTCCCTGATTGCCTCAAGGGAGCATCTCCCGGCATTGAGCCTCATTCCAGAGCTGAGGTGCCCTTAGTGTGGGAGGCAGTGATGGAGCTGGCTTGTTCTGGCTCAGGGGAACCAGTGACTGTGTGCATCTCTTCCCAACTCCATGTCCTGTGACTTCACGCTTATAGTGTGAAATCTGCCACGGCAGACATATTTACACCAAGGAAATTGGCAATTGTTACAAATCAGGGTTCCTCTCTCCCTATGCAGACCTCATTGATAAACATTGACCAGACACCACTAGAGTCAGGAGATAGGTTCCGTGCCCAGCTTGGTCACTTACTAGCTGAATGGTTTCCTCAGAGCTTCAGTTTCCTCATGTCTAAAATGGGCCCTTCTTCTCAGAGGGGCTCTGGGACTCTGGGTGAATATGTGCCTTTATATTTGCTACTCAAGTGTGGTCTATGGACCAAGCAGTGTTAGCATTGTCTGGTAGTTCATTTAGAAATGCACAATCTTAGGCCCCACCTGAGACCTCATGAATCAGAATCTGCATTTTAACGAGATCCCCAGATGTGTATGCACAGAAAAGTTTGAGAAGCTACGCTGTGTGATGGCTGGGAGTGATGGAGCCTCTTCCATTTCATTGCCCACAAAGCCTCAGGATGGGTCTTAAGGGCACCTGGCTGCTAGCGGGGTGGGCAGTGTCCAGAAAGGGATACTTGGTGGGTCCTCCCTGGAGCCCATGAATCTGTCTGTCTTCCCGGACCTCTGCCCTCTGACCCACCCTATTACTTCTCTAGTGGCTGTGGAGGAAGTTACACTGGACCGATGGAAGTTCCTGGAATTTTGTATACTGGGCCTCTGGGCAGCCTAAGCATGGAAAAGGCAACTGTGTGACCCTAAGCACCAGAGGTGAGGGGGACTGCACACCAGGGCAAGGGGAAGGGGTGGCAAGGTGGACTCTTCCATACTGTCCCTTTGAGCTGCCTGTCCCACAAACTGTAGAATCAACGACCTGTGTGTGAGGAGGGCTGAGATGTAGGGTGAGGGGGTGCCCTGTGTGGGAGCCTGATGGGTCTCTCCATCCTCACAGACAAAGCTAGGCTTGGGGCTGGGGGTTTCTTTCCTTCCTCTGCTGTGAGGATGTGACTGATGTCACAGGTGAGATTAGCAGATGTGAATGTAAGGTGTGGATGAGGGACGAGGAAGAGATGTGAGAGCTAGGAATGGCTGACAGGAAATTCACCAGCTTCCAACAGCCTGAGAGCCAGATGTGAGGGAGTTAGTACAGTGGCTAAGACCATATGTGCTGCAGTGAGACTGCCACGATTCACACCCCAGCTCTGCCGCCTGCCAGCTGACACACAGGAAGTGGTTACCCGCTAAGCCTCAGGTTGCTCATCTGTGAAATGGGGATGATGACAGCATCCACCTCTTAGAGTTGTTGTGAGAATTAATCGCAAGTCCATATAAGGCTTTTAGCACAGTGCGTTCCCGGGGTAAAGGCTCAATACACGTGAACATAGGGATGACAGATTGTGACAACTAGTGACAGGTAGTAAGATGTATGAGGTGCCTAAGGAGGGAAAGAGGGGGACACAGGCCACACTGAGACAGGCAGCTGACATCACTCTGCTCTCTGCTAGGGGGCCACTGGCGACGAGCTCATTGCAAACAGCGTCTGCCCTTCATCTGCCATTTCTTCTAAGCCAGTGGCACGGAGACCCTGCTTTGCTGCCTCCTCCGTTCACCTCCTCCTGGCTGCCCCTGGCCCAGCCTGGACACTGGACCCCTCTCCCCGCCTCTCCTGGTCATAAAGCTAGACTTCCCACTGCATTTCTTGACTCTTGTTTCTTCATTGCTCACTTTGGAGGACTCCCCTGGGTTGGAAAATCCTGGACGCACTCACTCCTGAAGGGTGCGGAATGAGGAAAGTAAAATGGTCAAGTTGCCCCATGTAGGTGGGGGGTAGAGGGGGCGGGTTCTGATGTGTTGGCTGCAGCGCCACCTGGAGGCCGAGCACGGACTAGGTGGCTCTCCAAGTGGCTTCTCAGCCCTGGCTGGGGGTCCCAGGTTTGGGGGGAGTTCTCATTTGGTGGGGGTAGGGCACTGGCCCTCCTGCTTTGTATGGGGTGTGGCGTGGGCTGGGCATGGGGCTGCTTTCCAAAACTAGGCAATGTTACCAGATGAAGAATTTGAGTGCAGGGTGTTAAAAAATATTCAAGTCAGTAAATTTAAAGACCTAATTGGCTTTATTGAACGATTCATGAATCAGGCAGCATCCCATCCAAAAAATGCAAAGGAGCTCTGAAGGGCTGTGTAAAATGGAAGGCTTTCATAGGCAGGAGGGGTGTGAAAAGGAAGTTTCTAGCAAACAATGGATTGTTCAGGTGAGGTCACCTTCCTTTGGGGGACAGAAGGTGTCCATCAAGCGGATGACCTCACTGGTGCTGAGCAGGTTGACTGGTAAAGGTAACATTCCTTGGAGAGGCTGAAACTGCAGATTAGATTGGGGATTAGGGATTGGTTTGGGAGTAGCACAAGTGACCCCGTTTGGGGCCTGCTGTTTCTTTCTTTTAACAGTAGTGAGGTCCCACTTGGCTGACTGCGTGAGCGGGAGGAGAGAATAGTTTTGTCTAGAGCAGTGTGTGCCTCTAGCCCTGTGTCCTTCTGGCCTCTGATACTGGCCTTTATTTTCCGTTCTCCCTGCCACATGTGGGTGAGGTCAAGGGCCCCACCTTCTTCTGAGCTGTTTTCCCCACTCCATTCCCAGGAGGGTAGCGTCCCCTCCCAATCCTCCCTTTCTGCAGTCCCCAGCCTGCCTCCCTGGAGGGGCTACAGTCTCAGGAGGGAGTTACCGCCCACCAGGGTGGCCTTAGATCCAAAGTCAGAGAATCTAGTAGCAGTGTGGCCCTCATCCCAGTTCTACAGCCCCGGGCCTCCACTTCTGTCCCTCACCCCACTTCCTCAGACCCTGGGGACATTGAAAGAGATCACTGTTGCTGCCCTTTGTTCCAGGCAGGTGCTGGGTGCAGGAAGGATCTGGAGTTGGTGCAGCTGCAAGCTCCACCTGAGACTGGGTATTCAGAGGGCAGAGAGCCCTGGGCTGTGGACGAGAGACAGATA